TATTAATATCTGATACATCCATTGGGAGAGTGGCTTGAGTGGCTTTCATTTTAGGCACTATAAATAAATAAAAAATATATGTATATATATCTTTATATCTCTAATCTACCTGTAAATAAATGAATCTCTAGCTATATCAATGTTATATGGAGGCGTCCATTGTAACTTATTTAGTCAACTTAGTATCCAAAGCCCGAAGTTTTGACAAATCAGTCTCATTCTGATCTAAACCTTATCATAAATTTATATATACAAGATTCTTGAATTTCCTTTGAAAAAACAATATCTTAATTTGTGGAATTGCGTCCTGCTACAAGGTTCTTATTGGCTCTTATTATTATCGAGTCTTATGAAACTTCTATTAGTAAAGCAGCCATTCATATATATAATTGTCATATAATTATCAAATTTCGTATGGACCTTTTCGGGCTTTTCTCTTGCAGTTGGTTATTTGGGATCATTTGCACCTAATGGTCTGCACATTAAATTTGATTAACAGCAACTCCCTAATTGCAGTGGACTTTGCGGGCAAGTGAGAAATAACACTTCATTGGCTGCGCTAGGGTATCTTTAAATATTGAACGCATCACTTACGATTTCTGATTTGTTGGCAAATTTTGTTGCCTTTGCAAATTGTCGAATTTGCAGAGCCCAACAAATTGGGTTTAATGACAAATTGGGTGCCAGAAAACAAAGTAAAAAGAACAGATTCGGACAGTCAAATACCATCAAAAGGCGTAGTTGAGTAATTTAAAGCGCACGATCCGAACAACAACAAAAAATTACACAAAAAAAAAAAACGAAAAATATTAAAAAGGATGCAAAGTCAATCTGCATATAAAAGATGGCAAAGGACAAACCCTTTTAAACAACTAAAGGGTGAAGGGTAAAGGGTGTGGAAGAGGGCGTCAGAGAAGGTGTGATATAGCAGAAACAGGTTACACAGAGAGAGTCAAGGCTTAACTGCAGTGAAGACACGTTAGAGCGAAAAGCCAGAGTTGAGTTGTCACAATATGCTATAAAGAAAAACATTGAGAATTCTCTGATTAAGAGAGATTTGAACTCAAGAATATTCTATGTATAAAATGGCAATGTAAGGGCAAGGACACGCAGACCTAAGGACCTAAGCAAAGGTAAGAAAGTCAGGCAGACGGACGGATAGAAGAAAAGAATACTAAAACATCACTGGGGCAAGAAAGGATAGACAGAAGCAAGAAAGGCGGACGCATATTGAAAGTAACCAATAGACTCACTTAACTTGGTAAAATCAACACATTTTCTCTAGTATTTGAGTAATTTTAAAGTGTATTATAATATATAAGAATATAATTGGAAACTTAACAAAATATTTTTTTAAGTTACTTTTTGGTTTTTTTGTTTACTGTAGTCTTTGGTCCTTGAGAACTGAAAGAAAAATAAACTTAGTTTAGTTCTGCTGAGTTCTGGCAAGCCAGCTGTTCGTCAATGCCAATTTTCACTGTGCTTCACTGTATTAGAGTTGGGTTTGGAATGGCTTGGACGAGTAATTGACGCTTGCATGCAAATTGAAAAACAGTCCAGAACAGGCGCTACGCATGAAGCAGGACGAACGAAGGAGGATGCAGTTGATGCCATGCAAAAAGGATCAGAAGGCGGGCCCGATGCGGCCAGAGGCAGAAAATGTGGTTGGGGACTGATTGAGCGCCAGGTTGATGCATTTTAAAACAAATTGGCACAGTTTGTGAACATTGGACAGCAAGCAGAGATTGTTGTTGTTGTTGTTGTTGTTGTCTTGTTTTGTCACGCAATTAGATGCAACTCATTTAGAGGACAGAACACATTTTGGGACCTCATTTGTGAGCGTGTGGACAAAATGTTAATCAAAGCCTGATGACTTTTTTAGGCCAACTAATAGGAAAGAGAGAGAGAGAGGGAGAGACGCAATGGGCAAGGCAGGCAAAGAAGTAGGGGCGTGGCGTGTCGAACAGTCGCTCCAATTAATATGCAAAATTTATGCATGGGAAAATTCAAAACAAACAAACAACAAACACAACAATGACAAAACGGGAAAAACCAAAATGTGCACGAGCTGAAAAATCAATACAAATTAGCTGTGAAGCAAATTGTTGTTGTTGTTGCTGGCGAGCTTGTGTTGCATGTGTGGCATATGGATTTCGGCAATTTTTTATAACACTTGCAGGCCACAATGTCGCCTTTTTAAAGAATTTATTATTTGGGTAATAAATAGTAGGTGAGAGGCAGAGAGAGAGAGAGAGAGAGAGACGGCTATAGTAATAGAGAAAGACAGAGAGAGAGACTGTATGAGAGTAGAGATATGTTTAAAAGCAGTTATATTACAAGAGATTTTTCATCCCAAATTAGTTAGATCTAGCACCTTTGATCCCTTATATATAGTCAAAAAACTAATATTGAAAATCGATAAATATCGAATTTGAGTAACTGTATAAAAATATACTTATTGTTACTAAAATATTATATAGTGTCATAAAAATGCTGGCAATCTTTAAGATAATTGATTTCGTTGTCGATACGCGATTTTTCAAATATTCCTGCAGCCTGTAGCACTGCAAATTTCTTATGGAATACGCTCTTTTGTTTTTTTTTTTCAATCAGTTTTTACATAAGACTATTTTGGTGACCCTAGGATCACACTTGCTCTCACGTGCTTGATAGACACGCAGTGCTGAAAAGAGTTAGATTCCCCTTTTCCGTCAGCTAATAGGTTAAGTTCTTTAAAAGGGGTTGTTCCTACGCGTAGAGTTGAGTGGAGGATGTTGCATGTTGCAATTAAATTAGTTCGGCCTGGCTGGACGCAGCGTCCAGGGCTTTGTTTCAACGTCTGCGTTTGATGGAAAAGTTGTTGCGACAAAATAATTGCAAGTGCAAGTGCTGTATCTGTATCTTACAGATACTTATGAAGCCAGCTGCGGCCTCGGCCGAAAGTTTGGCATTGCCAGTGATGCTGATGATGATGATGATGATGATGATGATCATCATCATCATCATCATCCGCCTGATGACAATGATAAGCATGTTGATAATGATGATGACCTGCGCAACAATAGTTTGCATCTCTTAGCTAACATCTCGCATCCCACAGATACAAATGTTAAAGTTCTCCTAGTTATACGTAGTGAAACAAATAGGAGTAGGGCATATTAGTTTTTTGACAAATCTGCTTGAGACAGCCAAATACCAAACATATATCTGAGTCAATTTTGGATATGCATATAAAATATATAAATCTATATTTGTCTACCTTAGCAACTAGAGTATTGCACAGTCGAGGCCACTCGACGTTCAGCTTTTTACTTGTTATAGTTGTTGTTGATGTTGCTGTGGCTGGTTTGCCGCAATCAACTGCACTTCATGTTGCGGTTGCTTCTAACAACTTAGCCAAAGCGAAACCAAGTATGTTATTTGTGTGCGTGTGGGTGTGTTGTATATATGTGAGTGCGTGTGTGTATCTAATCACATTAGCACGTGCGCATATCCTTTCTGGCCCTGTGGCCGAGCAGATCCCCAGGCTGCCATTGCGTTGAGCTAAACTAAAAACATTTTGGACGCTTTGTTTTTGCCTCATTTCGCTTTGTCGATTTTGATTATTTGTCTGTGGTTGCGCGTTCGCCTTTTGTTTTGCTAGTTTTTTGGGCAACTATTTGAAACTCAGAAGTTGTCTCCCGCTCCTACCATACCCACATATTTGCATTCACGTATGCCAAATGCGTAGCAGTTTCTTTCGTGTGGTTAAAAGTTTTCAGCAAAGGAAGCGGAATTTAAAAATACATATTTTTACGTTTGGTTACGCGCGTTATTCAAATTTTCCATGTGGATTTTGTCTGTGCTAAGCTATCGTTGGTACACTTATCGATGAATTACCTAATAACAGCGTGATAACAGTTGATTTTAGTACAAGTGGTTTGTGTCTACTGTTCAAAGACTCAGTATTTTCCAATCATGGTCTGTGTCTGTGCTAAGCTATCATGTTTCGGACTTATCGATAGACTGTATAATATCATAACATGCTGTTAATAACATATCAGTCTAATTTAGGACTATATGTGTTTTGCAAATGCATTCGAAGTTGGCTAAACTTATTCTAGTTGGAAAATAAAATGATGCCAGCATAAAAAGAAACATTGCTGACTGTGCACCTTGTCGAACGAAAGAAGTGCATATATGATAAAACAAAAGCTTACAAACTTTGGTCGTGTCGTGTGTGGGACTGCATAAAAACTGATAAAACAACAAATTAGGTAAATGCAACTGCATCAAAATCTTGTTGCACATCTGTGCATTTTTGGCAATTGAATGAGTGTTAACTATAGTTAATGTTGCATATATTTGAAAAACATCAACTGTTGCAGATCAGTCGAATCTATAGCTGGCGATCAACGCGCGGGAAGATAAAACGAGTTTATCACTTGAGCTACTTGGTTTTTTTCACGTGTAAGTCTATTACCATTTATTAAACAATTTGTATGACCCATTTTGGTGTATTCGTCGGGAACTCTCCCTATAATTAAACTATTCAAAATGCTGCCCCCATAGTGGAAGCATATGCAATTAGTATTAAAAATTCTGAAAGGCCCATTTGACATACTTCCCAGAGAAATCAAACTAATTATCTTGAAATGCAGCAGGTAAATATTTTATATATTTTTTCTTTCATTTTTTAAGCAAACGGCTAACAACGCTATATAATTTATATTGTTTCTGTAACGAGTATTTTTCTCTATTTGAACCTTTAGGCTCAATACATTTTTTTCTATTGTCAAACGTTTTTTTTTCTGTGTATATATATTGTTAAAGCATTATAAATAGAGGTACAGTGAAAGCATAGCCAAAGAATAACATGGGTTTTCTAATCGCAAACAAAAATTTAAATAGGATTTAAAATAATTTAGAAATTACAAGTAAAATTTAAATTTTTCTTTGTTTAAAAAAATATGAAATTATTTTTAAAATCTGAATCAATTAGGATATTTTGAAATATTCCTAAATAAATTAACAAGTTTTATTATGAATTGGTTTAGAAATTCTTGCAACGAGATATTCTGCGTTTAACGAACAAGTTATTTGCTTTAGCGAGCATCCACCGTACCACGAATAATTATTGTGCGGTTATTTTCCTGAGATTTTCTATTCGCTCTTGACCGGCACATAGGTGAAAACAATGGTCGAATGAGGTGCGACCTGTAGCTCATTGAGATCGACCTTGCTCGAGGGCAATATCTTTGTGGCATTGCCATTGTTGAAGTTCTCGCTGAAATAGGAGACGGTCATCTTCTCGGGCAGCTTGTGATCGACAGTAAAGTTGCTCAGCTGCGGCGAATCGGTTGGATTAAAGATGACAAAGTAGCCGGGACTGCCAGACTTGATTCTGTAAAAGAGCAACAGATTAGAGAAGAGTTTTGATAGGGGGCCAAACATGAGACGAATTGAAACTACTTTAAGAATTTATCAATTATAATATGATATGCACTGATTAACGCATTGATTAAGAGGTCTTTAAAATAAGAAATAAGTTTGCATATGATATATAGGTTACGAATATACCTTTGCCTTTGTGGGTAAGCATGAAGAGTTGCAGACAAGTTTTGTTAGGTTAATGAATTAATTCATCAGTTTAACGTTGACTTACCTGGAGTAAGCAATTAGCTGGTTGGCCTCGAAGATGTTAAGTTCGCCGTGCATGTACGAGGGCGAGAGACGCATCTGTTGGATTTGACTGTAGGTGTGATCACTGACATTCACATACTCAATGGAGTCCACAGGCACGACGGGCACGCCCGGCAGCAGAGACATGAAGAGAGCCAATGCAGAGGGATGCGAAGTGGTGTCCACGTAGACATCGGCGAAGTTCCACTGCAACCAACTGTTGTTGGCCGTGTCCATGAGTGTTTGCTGTAGCTGCTGTTGCAGTTTCTTGTTTGTCTTCGACGAACTGAGTGTACGCACGAATTCTCCATACATGGGCAGATCGATGCCTAAAGCGCCGCCCGCTTGGCTCAGCACGTACGCTTCAGGGCGAATAATATCCTCGGCCACTGAGAGGAACGCATTGGCCGAGACGTTCTTCACCATGGCTAAATAGTCGTAGAGCACATCGCCCAAGCCGTTCTGGAATGTTGTCTGTGTATGGCTGTAAAAGCCATAGTCCACCATATTCAGTTCCTTGGTCGTGTGCGAGATCTCCTCATCGGCCAGATTATCGTTGACCAGATAAAACTTGGTGTTCTTTAAGCGGAAGCCATGCACACCCATTCCTAGTAGATGCCGTAGCACATCTCCAAACTCCTTTCGCACCAGCGTCGAGTTCATCTTCAGATCGTAGTTGCCCTCTTGGAACTGTGACAATACATAGCTGTTGTCCTGCTTCTTCCAGGCGCTGGTGTTGCCGCCCACCTTCTTCCAGTTGTTGGGCAGTTCACTGCCAGCATCCACCCAAACAAATGCAGACCTGCGATCCGCATCGGCCAGCGCATCGACGAACAGCTGAGAGCTGTTGCTGACATAGTTGGGTGTGAGATCGAGCACGACCTTCACATCGCTGGATTTGTATAAATCTACGACTTGCTTGATCTGTGCCTCCACATCTGCTTTCTTTACGTCGTAGGTGTGCGCAGCGGGCAGCTCGTAAATCGCACCCGAAGCAAACAATTTTTGTGCGGCTTGCAAATCCTCAGGCTTGACATCAGCCACGCTGCCAAACTTGGCGTGCAGTCCACGCTTGTACCAGGGCAGTGGCTCTGGGGCAGCACACTTGGGTGCACCAATTATGATCATTATGGCGCCCACCAGCATGCTCACCCAGATGACCCAAAAGCCCACAAAGAATATCCAACGCAAACGCACCCAGAACGGATCATTGGCGTACTTCAGCAACTCCTCCTTGCTCATGCCAGTAAAAGCCTATCAAAAAAGAAAAGACATGAGAGCTATTTAGATTCTGTGGCAATCTCTTCTATCATTCTCTCACACGTACCTCCTTGCCATTAAGATTGCCTATGTCAATCTTTGCATCGCCATTCTGATGATCGCCCTTTATGAATTTGACCTCGTCACGTCGCTCCGTAAGCTTCTCGTCGGGTGTGCCGGAGCCTAACATTTCCTCATCGGCGCCATCAGCCACAAAATTCTCTTCCTTTACCATCTCGACTGACAAAGCTGCTGATTGAAGCAAATAACGGAAAGCATCTATCAATTAACATCAATTCAGTTTGTATATGCGTATATGTGTGTGTGCGTGTGTATGCGAGCGTGTCGCGTGTTTTTTCCCTTAACAGTAACAGAGCTGAGCTGAGATGCCAGTCTGGCTTTTTATTTATGGCTTGTTCATACTATGTTAAGCAGCTTTTATGCTTTTTATTGTCTTACCATTTTTTTAGTTTTTTTTTTCACTCTTGAACTACTTTTCTTTTTATTTTTTGCATTCGGAAAAAGATGCCAGCGTGTATTTTCAACTGTCTTAAACTATGTTACGAAAATTTCCTTACTGTGTGTTTTCTGGTTTTTACTTAGCCTTTTACCTCCTCTAGAATAAGCTCTCAAAAGATCGCATCACTGCTTCTATGATAGACGCAAGCATTTCTACACATTCGAGGTTAGGGTTATTTTGTACAGACGGTAATGAATTTCTTTTACTATTTTCACAATTGTTCTATAAATAAAATGCTATTTACTTCGTTACATCTTCACGTTTTCAATTGTGTTTAATTACACTCAATAAATTCTATGAACGCGTTGCTGACGTCACTCGCTTTACGCTTTAATGAATTGAGCTGTGCTTTCCCCTATTCTTGAACGGAAAATCAATACGCGGAGGAAATACATTTTCTTTATCTCAACGCATTTTTGATAAGATCCTCAAACAGACAAGCATAGACAGTTACACAGTCACACGCACAATTACTTTTCGTTTTAAATGATGAAATCTGCAATTTTTGTTACATCAGCCGATGGGCGTGTCGGTTAGCTTTAAACAGTAGCTTCAGGTTTCATACATACCTTGTTGAATGTTCTTGCTATGTGCTGGCAATCTTTCTTCTCCAATTACTTTGTATATTTCCGTAGATTCGGCTGATGCTTCCTGATTTTGTGCGACAACTGTGCGAGTTGATTGCAAAGAAAAGTTGCTATGAGTATGGTCTCTTAAAAATGTTATTTAACATAACAGCACAAATATTACATTAACGCTGAATGCAATGTTAAAAAATGTGAGCATAATATTGTTGTTGTGATGTTAAGTCATGTAACTATTATATATAACAGTACTAAAACATACAGTTCAATGAAAAACTCATTTTTTGACTACTTACCAGCTACAGTCACGGGTAACGTCACCGAGCTCTGGAAATAAAATTTTGTTAAAAATAAATGAGTAAATAAATATATGCTGTTAGTTGGAGGAGTTTCTGTCATACGCGGAGCAAGTCTGTAAAGGCCACAGACCATTATGCGATGCACAAGGTGGCAACGCCAAAAAATTGCGCGCACAATTTAAAAAGATATGGTAGCATAACACGATTTTTATATTTTGCCACGTAACTCACCTTGTTAGCAGTTCCCAAATGTTTAAGGCGCGAAAACAAATTCATTTTATCTTACTAATAGTATAATAATTTATATTTAATATATTATTTATTGATCTATAAATACATATAATGTATGTGCACAAAAACTGCTTAAAGACAATAGAAAAAATGTTATATTTTTAAGTTTTCATCAAATAAATAAAATTTCATAAATTATAAGTTTTCGATTAAGGAATGCAGCAAGAATTTGCTTGTTAATATAACTGTTTTTTAATTGATTTTGATTTATTTCTTAAATAATTTTTTTTCACTTTTTCCGACTTTATTAACCATCCGCATGCGAATCTGAATCAAAACTGAAACAGCGATTGCGATGGATGCTCAAACAACTCTCGATTCCAATTAACTGAGTTGTCGCAATGTTGTTGCTGTTGGATTTTTTGCTGCTGCAGCTGGTGCTGCTGCTGTTGCAGCAGCCGCATTTGATTTAATAATAATATCCCCACATCCAACGCCGAACGCACGTTTAAATTACAATTTATGTGCCTGCGGCAGTTGCCGTCCACAAACTACCTGGTCCCCGAATGGAGCTGCATCGCAGCTTACCTGAGAATGTGTTCGAATCGCCAATGCTGCTCGCCCGTTTGCCCGCTAACTTTGTATACTCTGCCAGTACGTTTTATGATTTAGCAAAGGCATTCAACTTTGAGTATTAATTTAAAATGTTTATATAAATAAATACGAAATACACAAATACATACATATAGAGTTAACATTTGTTTATATTTGTTGTTTCATTATTTTTTTTAATCATATGATATATAATTTTATATGTATGCATATATATATATATATATATATATATATATATATATATTTGTCTTTTTATCTCTTAGCCAAACTTGTATTTTATTAACTACCATAGAAATGAATTGAAAATTCTTATTTATAGAAAAATGCGTATTAAACATTGGTCAGTTAGGGTATTCACTATTCGACAAGCGCTCTTTCAATAAACATGCGCTCATCTCTTGTTCGCATTCTGGGTAGGTCTGTGCACAAAAAAATAAATTATTTGCACTCGTTGGCGCATTCCATGCCCAAAAACGAGCAGCAGAAAAGTGAATAGAGTTTCAACGAAGACACTTTCAAGTTCGAACTCTTTGACCTTTTGGCATGGTCAAAGACTTTGACTTAACGTGTAGCTACATGGTTGCAGTTCGAATTAGAACTACGCAAATTGATCAATTTGCTGGCATTTTGTGACATGCAAAGCCCATTCTAAGTGAAGTCCATTTAAAAACAAAGCCTCGACTGCAGGCTATATAAATGTGGTTGACAGCTCGCATCAATCGCAAGTTCAATGGCAATTCATGTGGGACGTCAGTTGCTGTGCGCAGCATTTCTTTTGCTGCTGCAGATGTGCATTAGCTGCGAGGCGAGGCCAAAGGTAAATACTGAGCAATCTTCGCTTAATAACTACAGACAAACCTTTTTGAATCTCAGGGAGCCACGCCAGAAAATAATAACGACGGTGCGAACAATGGCGAGAACGAGGACGATGATTCCTCCTCGGAGGAGACCGTTGAGGATTCCAACGAGGGTCGCCGACGACGACGTCGGCGCGAAGCCAGCGATCGTGCTGGCATACCAGGTTTGCCCGATCCCGCAACGATCATCAAGATAGCCCAACTCTTTCAATCGGTGGGCGAGCAGATTGTGCCCATTATCCTAGAGGCTCTGCTGCCCGTCAACGATGCGACTGGAGAGCGAACAGTTCGGGACCTGCAGTTCTTGACGAACCTCAAGCGCCCTCTCGAACCAGATTCGCTGGAGCTGCAGCCACAAGTTGATTAATTCTTCAACGAGAAACCAGTTTCAAACGAAAGAAATGTCCGTGGTTCAACTCCAGTTTCATACATTAAATCATTTTTGCAAAATTTGGTTAAAACTTTGGCTTGCTTTTCGTTGGTCTTCTACCTTACCGTGAAGACAAAGAAGTTCTCTTGTACCGTTTACGTTAGTATTTTTGAATTATAGTGCGATAGTCCTTGCGTCTTGGAAAATGGTTTGTGTGGCCAAAGCTTGTGAGGCAACTACTTTCTTCGGGCTCTCATTTGAGCCTTGTTTTGTGGTTGTTGCCTGGTTCAGACTGTCGACCTCACGCTTAGCCAGATCCAGTTTGCTTAGATCTTTGAACAGCAATCAATTGTAATTTGATTCTATTAATAGAATTTACCTAGATAATCTCTATTATTATGTTACGCTCTCTTGAGTCTATTTGCATATGTTATGTATCATCAACAAACTTTTCCTAATGTCATTTTTGTAGATATTTTCCCTTTAGATGTTTTAAGTGTTCAAAAAAACTTGGATATTTTTGGTAGGCATTTAAAAAACTGGTTTTAATCATAAATTATTTATTTTCTTAAAGAAGATATCCAACAGTTTTATAGATATTTTAATAAAATGGTAGTTCTTTTTGTGTAGTTTTTAGTTTTAATGAATATGTCCAAAAGTATGCTGCAGTAAGAACTGTTATAGTTGCCCTATCTACAGTAAACTCCGCCGATATTGCTTAGCGCATGACAAGCTTTTATGTTTTTACGATAGATGGCGCTGAAAGGTTTTTCCTTTAGTTTAAGTGGTACCCGAGGCAGTCAGCATATACCAAGTATAATAACATTTGCGTTGGCTGAAGTGGTTTCAACTTGTCATATCATTTTTACGTTGAAAACCTTGGACTTGACTTGCGTTTTGACATTTATCGCAATAAATCAATATAGAATTCTTTTTCCGAGGATTAGAGGTTACAAATTCAAAACCAAATTTGTTTAATGAAAGGTTTTTGTACCAACTTTCAAGCATATTACAACCCTCAACTTATTTCCTTTTATTTATAGTAGATAGTTTTCTTATAATTTTTCAGCTATTTCACATAAGTAAATCATACAAAAATGCTTTTAAATGAAAAAGGGATATAAATTGAAGGTTTTCAGACCTGTGCCAATTTGAAGAGGGAACGTTTTTTTCTATTATTTATTAATAAATGAACATTTAAGCCATAGAATTATTAAAATTGAAATGTGGATTGAATCCCGTTGTCTACATGGAAATGGCATGAAAGCCCTGTATTTCTTTGCAATTCTTGGAATCGACCCCAAGAAAAGTTATCATGAGCTCAATGACTGCCGGCAGGTTATTCTCGCAAAACAGATGGGCAACTATCAAGACGTAGACATCGGGCACCTTTGCGACGACACTGGGATACTTGGTTAAGAGCTTGCTTATTGCCTTCCCAATTGATGCGATGACTTTCAGATACAAGAAGTTCCACTTGAAAATAAGTTCGCAGTTCGAGAAAGCCGGCTTATCACAGGCTGTATTGTCTTGAGCTAGTTTCACTTTAACATGCCTCTTTGTCGCGGTCTCATTGGACTTTGTTGGTAATAAAGCTTTCATTTTAATTGTTAGGGCTCTTTTTTCCACCAATGCGGATCTCAGTTTTGCCATCTTTACCGTTGTAGTCAGGTTACTACGCCCAGTCTTGGCTTTGGCCGTGTCTTGGTTGCCCTGAGCATGGCACAATAACAGGCACAACACCACAATGATTTCGACTCTCTGCCAATTATAAGCAATAAATGGATTCTATTAATTGTCCTAAATTACGCCTATAAATTATATATCTTACCATCTTCCTTAACGGTCGACAGTGTTATGTATAGCAATTGTAAAGACTGCAAAATATGGTTATAAAGCTTTACTTAACCATATCCGATGCAATTTTAAGGTTTTTCGTCGTGCTAATTAGTTCAAGTGCTCAAAAAAAATTGTGTCTCTTTGATTCAAAAATGTACTTATGCACCTTTCTGTTACATTTACATTGCACTCAATTTGTTTGAGAACTTCAAATGCTTAACATATTTTTTTACTTTGAAAGATAGTGCCCAAAAGTATGCAGCACTATGAATTGCTCTAACTGCACTGAATGTATGGTGAGCTTTTGCTTTCTAACAATAGATGGCGCGACCATTTGGGTTATTTGACACTTGTTAAGATATCAGAATAATAACAAGAGGATCATGATACGACTGCCTTTGGATCGTTACTCAAATTATATAAACTGAATATAAGGATATAGAATTGGGATTTCAGCTAAGACTAAAACTCTGCTTCTGTATCATATCATATTATATTTATAAAACTATGAAGTTAATAAATTAATAATAAGAGTTGCGAAATTGACTGTATAATGTTCTGTATAAGCATTTGGCAAGTATTACATCAATCGAGGAATCTTAATTGATAGACATCATGCACTCCAACGGATCAGTTTGGCTAGCATCCTATCCTATCCTATGCTATTTCTATTTCGTTCTCTGGCGCCTTTTGTGTGGGCTGGGGTCTGGCTGATGTGCAATAAGATCTTTGCAGCTAACCAACTGACAGCTTACAGCAGACAACTTGCAACTGGCAACTGCAACTGGCAACTGGCGGCAGCAACAACAACAGCAACAACGATTCAGTCTTAAGTGAATTGTTGTGTTGACAAAGCAGAGCAAAGTAAAGAGAGCTAAAGTAAAAGTTAATATGCTCGGCATGATGGCTGGGCTCAGGCTGTGGGGCACTCAAGTATTTAAACATTTGCCTGGTTGTAATTTGAGCTGCATGCTTGAGCATTGCGAGCGTCTATTCATATAGCTGGCTGGCTGGCTGTCTGGCTGTCTGGCTGTCTAGGACGCAGTCACATCCTGTGCGTGCGCCATGCCTGAATCTTGTTATTTGTATCTTTAAGATACTTTTGCTGTCTCTCGTTTATTTATTGTGCAAAGCAATTTCGTGACTTTGTTGTTTATTTTCAGTCTTTCACATTTTGTTTGGCTCGCCCGTTCGACACACATAATGGATGTGCACATACATGTATGCAGCACCTGCCCATTCCCTTAGCTTACCTGATCTAACCTGAGGTCCCGGGTCAAACTTACCTGCGCGTAAATGAACTAAGTTACTTGTGAATGCAGTTCCCTCAAAATGGCTAAGCAAATATGCTAACCCAACCTCTTCAGCACGTTCGGTTTTTGCCTGAGTTCGTCACTAATTTGTACTCAACGCTCGGCTTTCTCGAGTGCCAACTGGCGGCAGTTTTTCCTCTGCTCTCCTTGGCGCTCACTTGCATCGAATCCGCTGAAGATAACACAGATCGCATCATTGGCAACGGCAACGGCAATGGCAACGGCAAATACATAAACATAAACTGAGCAAGTGAACATGAAAGAAGAAATAATAAAATAGCAATAAAAAACACGAGTACTTTTGTATAAAATGCCTAACAGCTGTACACCCTGTAAATTGTCTGAAATATTGATTAAGACTCAAAATTAGAAATGCACTTTTCAGTCAGATCTTAGCCCAGTTATAATTTAGAGAGAAGCTTAGTGAGAAGCGCCATTAAAGTAAAATTGCTAAATTCTTAATATAATAGATAAATTCTTAAATTAATATTCTTAATATACCATCCTTGCTGACTCTAGCGCTTAAAATCTATTTGACTAATAAACTATGTCCGATTAAGAGTCATTCATAAAACTAGTCACAAATATACCTCATTTCGTCAATATTTGCAGGGCAACGGAAAAGAAGCAAGTAAGCAGACTTCGCACCAACGCTCTCGAGTGTTTTCTTTATAAACAGAAAACTTAATGATGTTGATTTAGTAGAACAGCCAACTGCTGGCACCTTATGGCACCGCGCCTCGCCCCCCCGCGTTGCCTATTTGCACTTTATGGAACCTCAGACACATTTTCATAATATGTATGGCACAATATGTTTCACTCCAGAGCTCAACACTTTGAAAGTTTTTGGTCCAATCTCCCCCTTGGTGCCAGGGCGCGTCCCAGTCCCAGTGCCAGTGTCAGTGCCAGACAGACGCAGCGTTTTTCTCGCGTTGGCTCGTCAGTCAACATGATTTGCAAGTTATACAAATTCATTCAACCGACGACGAAGGCCAAGACTGAGACTGAGACCAAGACCAAAACCAAGAGCAAGAGCAAAAGACCAAGACCTAAGGACCACGACCACGACCACGACTTGGCCACGACTTGGGCCAAGTTCTGGTCCGCATGTCTGCTTCATTAACACGTCTTTAGGGCTCTGGCTATGCTTCTTATGCCTCAGCGCTCTACAACCAAGGAGTCACATAGATTTTCTTAATGTATAAGAGACATCAGATGTTGATTCAAATTTGTAGCTGATCTAAATTATTATCAATGTTTCACAAGGTGTTTCCAACAGTCTGACGCTTGTAGCGACCATCAATCAGGGAATTAATCTGACAGTAATGTCAACTACAATAAGAATATAATGTTTTAATATTCGATAATTGTGCTTTCAGTCATTCAATCGCTTAGTTGATCAATCAAATTGATGATTGAATAGTCAACAATTCATATAGAACAATTTTTTATTATATATTATTTTTCTTATTTAAGCATCTGTTGCCATAAGGAATGGATGTGTGTTGATTCTCAGTTAGTCAATCAGTCAATCTCAGTGAGTCATTCTGAGCAATCAGTTCTAGTTCTGATAGACAGACAGTTAGTCAATCATCTGATGTAATAGTCATTTATAGGCATCTGTATGTAGATTGTAGAGCTTTTATTATTATTATTTGTGTGTTTTTAATTTTCTACTGCAGTAAGATAATAAGTCAATCAGTCAGTCAATCAGTCAGTCATTCAGAACAAGCAGCTCTATCTCGTTGATTGATTATTATAGCTAACTACACTGTCTTGATTGATTGATTAACTGATGTTAATAGCTATAATAATCAATCAACTTTGGTTTTTATGTCTTAAAACTGTCTTCGTTTCTCTGAGTGTATTGCAGGGCATGCCATAGTCGTTATCACATTACCTTCGTTAACCTTACAATGTCTTGTGAATTTTGAGGAGTTGAGGTGTAAATTGCTTTGTCGCTTTCTGAGTTTTGGAAACGTTGGCTCGTCTGTCAACCACACACACACACACATATATATACCTACATATACACATACACACACTCAACCGCATTCACAATTAGTTGGGCTGCACTAAAATATGATTAGAAGTCGTTTCAGAACTTTGTGTAGCATGAAAATAAAAGAGCCAAGAAAAGTAATTGATGTGAAGCGGGCTAAATTCGAAATTCCTTTGGGGCCACTGGACAAACTGTGTTAATTAGATTGCCGATAGTATTGGCGAGATACGAAGTCAGGAGGCGTAGGCTATGAGAAATTGATGCAATGCGTGAGATAATGCGACAATTTAGGCCGGGTAAGAAAACCCGCTTTGATTCACAGCTGTCGAGGCCAATGTAATGCGGAGAGCCTCGAGGTATTAAAAGGCAAACGAAGAGAATTTCTATGTGTGGTAAAGAAAACCTGCCAAATGAAACCATTCAAAGAGAGACATAGGGAGAGGGAGGGAGAGAGCGAGAGAGGGAGAGAATCGCCTTGGAACTAGGCAAGTTGAGCAACTACTTTGGCTACGAGTTGCCTTCGGGCCGACAGGCACGTTCTTCTTCACCCAACGATGTCAGCAGCTTGGAAATAATTTGTGCTTGAATGGCAAACCACAGCCCAGTTCTCCACACAGCACCACTCGCATTCCCCACCCACTCGGGTGTGCAACCCCTAAAGAAATTCCATCAGCTGCATTTTGCAGTTTAAAAAGCTTTTTGTGTGCCAGGAAGTTTTGCAACCTTTTGTTGACTGTTGGGGCGTGGGGCGTGGCAAGCCGTGCAACTGACATTAGTCGTGCAATAAGTAGACAGCCCTCAGTGACACATGTTTCCATGTGGCAGCAGCCACAGTCACAGCAAGGCAGCCAAAAGTCCCAGCCCAAGCCCAAGCACAAGCCGTACACCAAGATCCTACAGCTAGAAGTCCGTGCCTGTCTGCATTTGGCTGCTAACTTTTTGCTTGCCATGCAAGACACGTTGACAAAAGACGACAACAGCAGCAGCAGCAGCAGCAACAGCAACAGCGTACAGAAGTCGACAACGTTCGCCAGCCAACATAGACATAGACGAATTTATGCTAATCAGTTGGGATGCCTGCCTGCCTGACTGGCTGACTGCCTCGAAGCACGAGGGTCGCACCGTAACACTTCAAACTTGAATATTTAATTTGAGCATTTCTTGTGAAATTTGAAATCCTTGTAAACGCTGAATTTTTCTCGTTTAAATAACTCTGTGATCTCCAGATAACTAGCTGAAGCATGTTTTCAAAGGGAAAACATGTCTATGCGAGAAATAATAATTATTGTAGAAGAGGAAATACCCTAGCATTAAGAGCAGCTCAGAGTTTCAAGTAACAAAAGGTCCAAGCTGGGGCAGAGGGCAGACTAACAGTCGTAGGATGATGGAACACACTGATGGACTGTGAGCCTCCAGCGATATAGCTCTCCCATTCTGATAAGAAGTGCAATGGGTATATTGGTTTTGTGTAATGCTCGTCTTGCTGTCCGTCCGATCTTACTTGTTTTAAATATATTTAATCTGTTATTTAGAATAACCCTTCATCAATTCTTGTCCCTGCAGTTATATAATTTAGTCTGCCGATTGCCTCAGTTACCACAAAAATTAAATGAGAGACTAATTTCAAAAGTTAGTCCTAATAGATGCACAAATCTATGTATATCTTCTATCTATATCTAACAGAAAATTTGACAAATGTCTCTCAGCATTTACCACATCCAAGAATTAGTTTTGTTAGGCAGATATCAAATTATATATTTAATTAGGTCAAACGTCAGAAGCGGCAAAACTTTTATGGCAATTTATGATTGTTTATTTGGAGGCCTTCTTTCTCGTATGTGGGTCGATTGTTGTTGATGCTGCCTTTTGGTCGATGGCAAATTATAATGAGGCGAGGATTTGGAAAAGTCGTGTGTGCGTCTCCTGGTAACTTGGGGTATTGCCTGGCAGCAATAGATGAAATCCTTACTTCACGCGCCAATTAAGTTCAATTTTCGTGCGAATAGGGGACGGGAACGCGATAAGCACATTATATATATAGAGGGGGATGGGACTTTGACTGGGTCTGGGATTGAAATTGACATCATTTGCCGTTAAAGAGGCTAAATTTGCGCCGAGGGTTGCGCTCACAATTACGCAAACGTGTGTGCGCCGAGTCGGATGCGAATTCGTATCGGATTCAAGATTGGGAACTCAGTTCGCCTCGCTTTTCGGGCATGGGAAATGGGCTCAAGTGCCAGCAGGCGGCATTATAAGCACATTAAATTCTAAAGGCGCAGTCGAAGCATGTCTGAAATGCTGACGATTTTGTTCTGGCACAGCGCAAGTGGTTTTTATGATGCGATATTTGAAATTTGCGCATGTACTCTGTATTATTATTGAATATCATTACCGAAAGCCCAACAACATGAACAGCAGCAGCAGCAGCAGTTGCCCCTCGCACGTGAGGGTGACTCGAAACAGCTGAAAACAACTAACTGGGGGTCGCTTTATGAACTGCTTGCTGCATTTTTTTCGAAGAAACTCCAAAGTCAGAGTCGACAAAACACGAGAAAAATAACAATAAAGAAGAGACAGCTATGTAAAACGTGAAAGGTGGCTGACGCAATGCTCTTCATCTTGTCTTAGAAATCAACAATGCATAAAAAATCCTCAGGTTACATATATACAAATAATCTCTAATCATAATATGGGCAGAGAAAAGTTAAACTTTTGATGTATCTAATATAGTTGAAGCCATCCCAATCTTTACTCTCGTTGATCTACTTTACAAAAACTTCGTAAAGTATAGTAGAATCGTTCTTCAGTACGTGACATGGCTTGTCGGCATTCGTATGTGTCTCAAGTCAGGGTATGCACTCACTAAACTTAACTCAACTGGGCACATTATCAGCGCCCCCAAAGCCCGCAATTTTGCTGCGTTTAGTGGTTTAATTTTTATGTTGCAATTTTTATGGCATTTGGCCGGGAGACCCACCGAAGACTTTTGTCCCCACATGCTGTTTGGGCGGTTGATGGCGTTGCCTTGTGCCTGGTGGCTGGTGGCTGATGGCTGATGGTTTGGTTGCTTTTTAAGTACGCCTTGGCACAATGTGGTTTCTTATATTTTTTTATGGGCTTCTGGGGCTACGTTTTATGTTTCATCTTTTGAGTACGCGTCGTTTGTTGTTTGCCTTTCAAACTGTTGAGTTCTTGAGTCTATAGAAACTTGGTTTTACTTTATTCACAGAACATATAAGTACTTGCCCCATTGTCATTTGTCTGTGCATTTGTCTTAATTACTGTATTTTGCGTATTTACAAGAAAACAATTTACATTGGCCCATTAAAGGCGACCAATTCCGGCTAAAATCTTGTAGAAAAATGCATTTCTCACTGCTGGTCAAGCACTACGTAGTTGCAAATAAATCATGCTAATGTTGAGAACTAAGGTTTAAAAAGACTTCCAAATATTACCGATTTGTATTTCATCTCCAATGAGGTAAGTCTAACTCTATGCTTAATGGACTAAAAATTAAAATAAATTGATCACATATTTGAAATCATATTTCGAATGGGTCAGTATAGAAACAGGAAACTGGGAATTATTTCTGCTTCACCTTCCTTGGCAATATGTAGGTGTGTATGTAAAAATTGGTGAACATGACTACCATAAGTATGGCCATGGCTAGCGTGACAGCTATGGCCAGGCGTGGCACATCACAGTTGGGCTGCATTAAGGTGAGAACGCTATGCCACATCACCAGGAAAAACTGAATCATTTGAAGAATGGTGATGTACTGCTTCCAGGCGCGACTTTGCTTGACCGCCTGGCTCTGGGATGATATGTAGTAGTAGGTGTACATCACGGCATGCACGAAGACATTACAGCAGCCCATCACAACAAAATGCCCACCATGGCCACTGAATCGGATTCCGCCATATACGGCCAGCACCATGATCGAGTGGTGAAGCCAATGCAGCACTGTAATCTGCTTGTAGTTCTTGCGCAGCACCATGAACACAGTGTCCATCAGATCGAGTATCTTGTTCAGGTAGTACGCATAGCACAGAGCCTGCTCAATGGGCTTAGCCGGATGATCCAGCGGCAGCACCGTAATACAGCGCAGGTTATACGGGCTTTCTACTAATATCGTGCGGACCGTCTGCGAAAGTAAAATATTGCTATTTAATTTCCAGGACTAGGCGAGAGCTAACTAGACTTACAAATATAAACAACAGGCCATTGTACACGATCTGTACAAGATTGTAAATTTTAAGGACTTTTTGCAGATCGTAGGGCTTTCGATTCTCCATGAACTTGCGCCCCACTTTGAACACGAAGAGCAGATAAGCCGACACTATGATTATTGCGGGCCATGGCCCTATGGCCAGGGGTAACTCCAAGGGATCCGCAGGTGGCTTATCGAATACATCAAACATCTCGATACCTATTTGGGCCTTCGTCTACTTTCTGCTTTGCGTATGCTCGCCGTAAGTGTTATTTGGCGACTGCTTCTATTCATTAGTGGCTTTTCTTTATATTTCCTTCATTATCGGTCTGGATATATGCCGATTATTTATGCAGCCTGCACATCAGCTTTCTTTTTATGTGTCAAATGTTGCGAATAATTTTTATTCAGTGACTTAATCATGGTATGCAATTAAGTGCGAATTGTTATGCTCTAGGACTTCAAGGTATAATGGTTTTATTAAAATCTCTGTAACCCGCAGAAGGAAGAGTAGTCAGAGCCCATGGAGTATATTTTTTGTGGATTCCGTGAGCCCAGAGAGCTTGTAAATAATTTATGCGAACTTGAAATTCTGATTATATATTCTTGTTTGCATTCAGAAAAAGTTTATTATATCATTTTCGATAGCTCGTCCTATTTCGCTATCCAATTTTAATACATGTTCCAGCGCGTGCTTTTCTAACTGAGTTAAGAGTCTCTCATAGTCGGTCACTCCCGACTAGACACTATTCTCTCACTTGTCTCATAGTGCCATTTATAAGATAGTGAATTTTATTGTTGTCTGATTGAAATGCATACGCTACAAGACTTTTGTATATAAAAGGGTTCAATAGTATGACTATCTACAATTTAAATTTAAATCGAGCTGAATCGCAAGTCGAACATTAAATACCCTGTTCAGACAATGTGTATATGCGTATATATATACAAATATATGAGATTATAATTAATTCATTCAAAAGACTTTGCTAATATCTATGTATTTTTACCTTACATTCGTAACACGGTTTTGTTATATATATTTTTTGATCAGTATCTCTTGTTCGACATACAAAAAACAATTGAGGCCCAAATGCGCACTTAATTTATACAAATAGACTAGAATTACAGTAGTTTAAAATGCGTTTATTCAAAGCACTTAAGCATTAAGTAAGGCTGATTAAAAGCTTTACAAGGCGAATCAATTTAGACGTGACCGAGGCAGCAATGTACTTGAAATAGGCATTTAATATCTGAAACTGTACTCATCTCTAGTCTGATTTCTTTAGTTTCGTTTTCTTAGGCAGAATGTAGGCGTGTACGTAGAAATTGGTAAACATAAGGAGCATGCCCACTGATGTGAAGATTGTCACATAGATGAGTGGACGCGAAGTCTCACACTTTGGCTGCATCAGTGTCCAAAGGGAATGAGCCGCTATAATAACGAACTGTAGCATCTGCAATACGGTTATGTACGGTTTCCACCAGATTAGCTTGTCATTAGTCGAATGCTGGGATGCAACGTAGTAGTAGCTGTACATGACAACGTGCACGAAGAGATTCAGGACACCCATTACCATCAGATGGCCCCCAAACCCTATGAGTCGGATAACAAAGTATCCCCCCACAGGCATATACAGATGATGAATTATATGCAGAGCCGTAATCTGTTTGTAATTCTTTCGGAACACTATGAAAATAGTGTCTAGCAAATCGAAATACTTGTTGATATAGTATGCATAGCAAAGCAGACGATCAATTTTCTTCAATGGATGATCCAAAGGCAGAATTGACATACAATGTATGCTTTGAGTTTTGGATATGGTCAAATAACAAACTGCCTGCAAGTGCTTAAATTATTGTAAACTGCTTTTCCTTCTAGCTTGCCATGTATCAGACTTACAGTTAAGAATAACAAGGCATTGAAGGCGATCTGAATTAGATTGTAGACCTTCAGTACAGCTCGCAGATCGTAGGCTTTCCGCTCTGCCATAAACTTACGTCCCAGCTTCAGCACAAACATCATATAGAACGCCACAATGACAGCCATAGGCCACGGACTAGTAGCGAGGAAGAACGCCGAGGGATCGGCGTAGGGTCTGTTTAATATCTCAAACATCTTAATTTATATATTTGTGACTGGGAAATTCCATCAAATTTATTACTATGAATTGTATCTCATCTAATAAATCATTCACTTTACAAGTCGAAAGGTCTACAAAAACTTGTGAAAATTGTGTTGAGTACAGTAAGTATTAAGTATTTTCAATTTGAATACTTTTAAATAAAATTCGCTTTAAAAACTGAAACGTTTAACCTTTAGCCTACTTTGCTTGCCTAGTTACTCTAGCTTGGGGGTTCGAATTGAGCGGCTCATTTGGAATTCATAACTCAGACTGCATTTATTATATTTTTATATTTCTGAAAGAATATTGGACTGGATAAGGATTTTCTATATATAAATTGAAGGTTTCTTTCACCAGTTCCCACAGACTGCGTAGACGGAGTCTTATTTAAGCTTGTCATTTGCCGATTTCTCAGCTTTTGGCATTATGTAGGCTTGTATATAGAAGTTGCTAAACATGACAAGCATGAGGAATGAAGCGACTAGAACCACGTAGATTGTTATGCGATTCGCCTGACAATTGGGTGTCATTAGGGTCCAAATGCTATGCGAGAACATGAGTACGAACTGAACCATCTGCATAATCGTAATGTACTGCTTCCACCAGAGAGATTGTTTGACAGCCGGCGAGCTGCCAGCCGATATGAAGTAATATGTGTACATTATCGTGTGTACCAAGACATTTAAAATTCCAACTACAATAATGTGTCCTCCATATCCAAAAAATCGTATCAGATTATACCCTATCGCTGGCATAGAGGTGTGATGGATCAGATGAAGCAACGTAATCTGCTTGTGGCTCTTTCGTAGCACAAAGAAGACTGTGTCCATCAGATCCAATATCTTGTTCAGATAATAGCTATAGACAAGCAATCGTTCCCACTTCTTCATTTCGTGATCCAGTGCGAGAGGAGTCAGGCAGCTGAACTTGTAGTGTGGAGTCGTAAGTATAATATACATGCACTGAACAGAGGACACGATAAATATGTAAATGAAGACCCAAAGTAACTGATGTACTTACCAATATAAAGATCAGGATGTTGTACAGAACTTGAACTGCATTATAGACTTTCAGAGTGCCACGTAGTTGGAACGGCTTCCGATTCGCCATAAACCATGGACCCAGCTTCAGCACGAAGAGCAAATAGGCAGATAGTATGGTCAAAATTGGCATAGGTCCGATGGCCAAAGGCATCAGATTGGGATCCCCATAGGGTCTATTGAATATACCCAACATATTATAAGCTACTGCGCTCTATTGACCAACTAGTCCGTTGCCCGAGTTGCATCTGTGACAGCTGCGCTAAAGTTGACTATTTAAATTTGCATTATTTGGGTTCTCGACTTAAATATTAACAAGCATCTCAAAGACTTTGCACTCATCGTAAATATCACTTATAATTTATGAGGCGTGGCGACTTGACTTAGCGTTAACATTTAACCTGCTTAAAGGTTCTTACGTTACACTTAAAAAGGAATTAATTGTTTTAAAAAATGTTTCTTAAAGTAAATTGTATGAATTCATTTTGTAAGTCATCCAGAATAGGAAGAATTTAAGGATAAAAACCTAAGACGCGATTCAACTAGGCTGCAAATCACAGGTATTTTTTTTAAATAAATTGAAAGAGAGAATATATTCAACCATAAAGCGTTAAGTTTAGTGTTTGATAATAGTAAAATGCAATTTGGGAGGGAGAAGCCCAGTAATAAGTTCTTAGTAACATGAATAAGCAGCTAAGATGCTGGCTGAAAGGATTTGTGGGCAAGCAGTGCCTGCTGTCTGCAGTTTTCTCAGCATTTTCCCATTGCTCAGCAAAGTCGAATGAATAGCTAATTAGCGGGGCGCATAATGAAAAAGTGCCCAATCATGATTTTTGCATAATTTTCAGAAAGCTTTTTTCATGGCTTCACTTCGCCTGCTGCCCGCCCGGCCACAATGCGAAGCCTTTCAACCCTAAAAACAAAAAAAGGCACATGAGAATGTTGCACTGGGGCGTGTTCGACTGCAACATACTAGTTCAAAGTCAACAAAAGGTGAAATGTATTCAAAAATCAATAATTTCCGAGTTGTCACGGCCCACTTGGCGGATCATGTTATTGATATAATTTGGCGATGTTACGTTAAAACCCCTGGAATAAATAGTGTTTTCCGATTCGCCAACTTATACTGTCTACATGAGTATATATATACCATATTTACCAAATTTTTAGTTGAAAGGTATTAAATATTAGATTATATTTAGTATTTTCCGATTTGCCAGCGCTTAGTGGGCTCAAAATATGAAGTCTCTAGCTTCTCTAGCGTCGAAATGGCGCATTATATAGACAGACGTACAAAGAGAAGTAGATTGCAGAAAACCAATATACCCTCTTCATTACGTAAACTAGCTTGAATGAAAGTGCCTCGCTTTTGATAAGCGAAGTCTACCGACAGCCTTTATCCTGGTGAAGTCCTTTGTGCGGCTCTTCTTCTGGCTGTCTATCAGAGCGACATGGCATTATTATTATTAATGGGCATCTGGATAGGAATACGTAGTTGAATTTGGACTCGGCTTCGGTATTGGACGAGCTATAGAATTTTCCAAAAATTAATTTATGACACGCCGCACATTTTCCATTTGCCCACGCTGAATACGTGCTATGATTATTATCAGTTCTTTTCCCTGTCTACCCCCTCGTCTACGTACTCGCTGTCCCTTTTCGTATTGTGTGTACGTATTATTTTTAATCCATTAAACAAATGCCATGTTACGGGCCCGCCTGTTGTGCCTGTGTGCATATATGTGTGTGTGTGTGTGTGTGTGTGTTTGTCCGTTATCAGTAAATGGGCAGAAGGGTCTTTGATTTGGCTGCCAGCACACAATGTGCCCGGCTCTAAGCACCAGAGCCGTGTGCTCTGCATTCAGGGTAGCAAGTAACGCCTCCAATTTGAGTTTCTATGTGCACTGAGAGAAAAAAGTATGCACTTACAATCTTATATTGACATAAATGTTATTAAAATATATTTGAATATTAGTATTTCTTTGTCTATAAAAAATTAATCAAAGCTTGAAATTTATATAAATAAGAATTAAATTCTTATTCCAAGTTCTATTCAACTCGAATAGACAGAGAAAATGTTTGGAATTTAACATTCATATATAGAAATTGTTAATTATCTCTTAATACAAAAATATATACAAGTCTCAATGTTAAAAATCGATTCCTTTTATTTAATTAATACTTTACTCTTATTTAAATACGAATTTTGTACAGGATTTGGACTGACTTAATATAAAATATATTTTAATATATATGTGCTTAAATGAATATATATGTGTAAAATTCAACTCATAGTTTTCTCTAAGTGTATGCAATCATGCAATCAGCCCACTTTGCTTCGTTCGATGTGCTTAAGGCGAGACATTTTGTGTTCACGCTGAGTTATCAAGCATAAAGAAATTTATCTGAGGCCGAAAGCAAAAGAAACCAATTTAATGGCATTGAATGTAATCATTAATATCTCAACAGATATATAATGGACAACTGGGTAGAAACTGAGTCGTGTCGATCAATTCTTAGATTTTCTATTCGATTTGTTTCAATTTTCTGTGTGGGATGCATTCCAATTGCCGCCGTGGTGTTGGGTTTCATAACTTGCCTAGCCTTCACGATGATGATGATGATGATGATGATGAGGTTGCTGCTATTCACTGGACACTGATTTGGCCATCAAAGCCAGTTGGCCATTGGTCCTTAAAGCTCACTCGTTGCCATTCACACGGCTCACTCGGCTCAATGAGCAAAGAGCTCTTAAAATAAGTACAAACACAGGGCGCCAATCTCCCCCTCAAAACTCGTTCTATGTTAGCCTAAAACCAAAGCGCTAAAGCAGAAAAAAAATAATCTGTAGGTTGCATGACCAACAGATATCCTATAGTTAGGAGTCACAGAATACAGCACAATAATATTACAAAAGTAAGAACATTGGGAGCTTTATTTTATCCCATATACACGAAGAGACTTGCTTGCCTAGTTGCTTGATTGATTGAATGATTAATAACAGTTTTGCTGCCAGAATGAAGTCTAACTGTTTTGAAAATATATTAGCATAGTTTTTACTTATTACTAAATTTATACAGTTAACTTTCCATCTCTCCGAGAACTGTTACAAACAGTTTCTTTAATTCTTACTACCCAATTCTTTGCTCTTTAGAGGGCATATAAAGTGAACAAAGCAATTTACTGGAATTACAAGAGCGTCTCTAATTGTTAAGTAAGCATAATGTGTGTAACATATGGCCAAGAGAGCTGCTTGGACCAACGCTGACTCCGATGCTGGCGCTGAATCCCATGGCCATAATGCGGCCATTGTGCTGTAGCATAGTGTAGGGGCGAGTGGGGAGTGGACCATGCCGAGGGGGTCCCTCGATGGCAAGTTACAACGAAAATGACAAAGACCGCTTCTGCGGGCATGTTTGCGAGGGCTCGTTGACGCCGCAAGCGCAAATAAATTGACAAAAATGTTGAAGCTTAAAAAATAAAATTGAATAAAAACGCTAAAGAGGCGGCTTGCAAAATGATTTTATTCTTCATGTGGTGGCAGCGAGTCAACAAACTGACTGAGTATATTGTTGACTTACATGGGAACAGCGACAGCAAGAACTGCAGCATCAGAGGGAATTGGACCCGAATAAACCTGAATATGAAACTAAGTGTGCCTTTAGTCAGGCATCTTGTCGGGTCTATAATGAATCTTAATTCCATTTTCAATCATTAAATAAAGGAAACGTTAAATTGGTTAAATATTAACTAAAAACGTGATTTAAAAGTGTCAATTTAAGCCAATTAAAAGCCAATTTAAAAGAACAAATTTTAAGTTGTAAGCCGAGCTGAGTCCCTATATAAGTCCCCCAATAACTTAGACTTAGTTCAATTATGATCAACAGTTTTACTGTTGATAATTCTATTACAGCATTTACTGTAAAACAAAATTAATATCTGACTTTAACAAGTTTACCTGAACTTATTATTATTTTGCTCTTTATTCTCGTTTTAGATGAACTGAAAGCGTGTCTGTAACCATGTCCAATAGGCAGGATCAGGGTATTCAAAACGCAGCTGTGGACAGATTGAATCAAAAAGTAAGCTCAATTGTTGTGCAGCCCTCGAGTCGAAAGAGTCGCTATGAGGGCCGTTCGCATTGGCGCCCCACCGTGCCGATTAGCCCATATGGTTGGTATCGTGTCCTCGTCTTCAGTCAGTATAGCGGTTACACAGTGGAGCAGGTGCTAGAAAAACTGCGTGTGGCTGTGGCGCCACGAAAGCTCAAATATTACTATTTACACGAAGGCGGGGAACAGGATGTAGAGCGGGATAAGCGTGCCACGTTCACCTTCTATGTGGATAGCTACAAGCTGGCCGCAGAGCTGCAGCTGCGTGGACATCAGCCGCCAGTTGTGGGTCTGCGCGTCAACGATCGCCCGCCCCTGATCCAGGTGGACGAGGCGTACAAATGGAAGCTGCGAAAGGTGATAATGTCTCGGTACGACGCGAAGAGACGCTGCCTGAATCTGTGTCGCTTCTATGCCGATGACTACTGGAAAAGGGAGTTCTGTGCGCTGCAGCAGTTCGAATGCTTGGAGGCAACCATTGACATCATGGAGCGGGAGTTACCGCAGCTGCGTCGCCTGCTGCTGGACAACAATTATATGTGCCATTTGGGTAGCTTTCGTGGCGTGGAGCAGCGACTGCCACGCCTACACTCGATCTCGCTACAGCGCAACGAGCTAAAGACGCTGCGTGAGCTGCGCGTCTTTCAGCGCCTGCATCTCACCGAGCTCAGGATCAAACGGAATCCGCTGCCCCGCAACTACGAGCAACAGGTGCTGATGATGTTTCCGGCTCTGTGCATGCTCAACGGTCGAAGCCTGAGACGCAGCTTGTCGATACCCACGGTCAGACTCAGCGACAGTGAGATCGACGGGGTCATTAATAGTGATAGCGATGTGGAGCTTGTCTCCGTCACTGATATCAAGCCAATGATCATGCCTGAACCACGAGTCACATACCTGGCTCCACATTCACTGCCGATGCAGCTGGGTGTCAGGAAGTTCGTGCGTCGATATCTGAAGGCGTTCGATGGCGGCAACAGGATGACAGATCTGAAACGATACTATCACGAGCACGTGCTGGTCTCCCTAACACTGGGGCAGGAAGGCGCCATGTTGGGCTTATGGTAGGTGGCGACACTCCAGATTCTTCATTCAGTTACCCGATTTAAATGTTTTTTTATGTCTCCTCCGCAGGACCACGCCCTATGCCGCCTATAGCAGACAGCTGCTGGCCTGTCGAGATGCTGTGCTCCATATGTTTGCGTCCTGGCCCAAGACGTTGCATTTGCCGGCAACGTTGACCCTGGACTTAACTCTAGTCGAGTCGTGTAGGCTGTGCGTCTCCATCACGGGCAGCTTTGAGGAGAACGGCTCAGCTGCCCGGCGGCGGCATTATATGCGAAGCTTTCTGCTGACCAGGAGCGAGGACACAGCCGACTTTCGCATAGCCAATGAGCTCATCTATCTAAGTCGAGTTGGCCGAGGCGAACGGCAGCCGGCGTCACTCAATCCCATTCAACAGAATTTGATGTCCTTGCTGTCGGCGGAGACGAAACTCAAGTTGCGCTGGAGCAGTAAATTCTTAAAAGATACGAATTGGGACTATCAGCAGGCTTTGCTGGCATTCCAGACACTCCTACGCCGGCGCCAGATACCCGAGAACGCATTCAACGGCAGTACAATGCCCGAACAGAATCTGTGACATCAGCTGCGAGCCATAGACCCAATGTGCCCGCAGGGAAATTGAAAATTCCACTGATTATGCTGATTAAATTTTTTTTCAACTGGATGTGAGGGCATAAACTGTGCCCCGACTATGTGAACAAGGATGACCGTTCGTTCCTAAAATACGAATTTCAATATTTAGTTGCTCCATTCGAAAATATGCTCGGGAATACCACACACTAACCAAAGTTTATTGCAACTGGTAAGATTGTGAACGCAATTGTAATTAATAAATAGTTGTTATTTGTGACTTGTGTGGAATACAACATATGTAGATACAGATACAGATAGTCCGTCTATTTATACCGAATATACTGGCATTATTTTATAAGTGTGTATAACCCTTTTACAAACTCTAAGGTTGTATTCCTGATCTGTATTAACAGTCGTGTATATGTAGCTATGCTCGCTCGACCTGATGATGGCCTAGTTAAATTGAGGTTAGAAGTTGTCTAGATTTCTTTCACTTAAATGTGAAATGGGATCACTGAATCATAGCATGTATAAACAAGAGTCAGCAATTATGAGCTTCAGTCTGTTTTTCTTAGAAGTTACTTATTGTGTAACTAAGAAACTAAACAATATTTATATAGAAGATATAGCTCTGATAGATATATATATATACATATATGTGAATGATAAAATATTTTTAGGAAATTTTAGACAATCTAATTATGCTCAAACTTATCAATTTCACGCGTAAATTAGTGAGAGTATACTCACTTCGGTCTACTCTGTGCTTTTGTAAGTAAGTTACCTTTCCGCGCGCCGCCCTCTGCCGTTCCAGCGCCGAGGCAGAAGTCAAACTCGAACCCTCGATAGCGGGCATTTAACTTGTCGTTAGGGTGAATTTATAAGCAGCGCTTTGCGAACGGCAGCCGTTGGGATGGTTGCTGGGTCGGTGGCTCTGTTGGTTGCTTGGCCGGGCGTCAGGCATTCGTCTGTGTGGGTTACACCTTCCACTACACCCGTCGCTGTTCCCCAGTTCAGCTTCAGCTTTAGCCTCTGCCTCGACAGCCTGGCCACGCTTTATTATCTGCCCCCTTTTACTCTGTTGGTTTGTTTGTTGCCCCTGCCCACTCGCTCTCTCTCTTTCACGTGCCCCTTCTCAGGCATCGCGACGTTGACTGCATTTCATTGAGCGTAATTCCGTTGCTAATGATTTTTGGCACACGTAGCGCTACTTTCGAAATTAATGCGCTATAAAACAACAACAGCAACAATAACAACAACAAACGCGGACTGCAACGACACTGAGAAATGGGCGCTCCGTGGATAGGAAATTGCCTTGCCAGGCGTTGGCTAAGGCAGCGCAAGCCGGCCAGGCGGGGTGGGGGTGTGGCTGCGAGAATTTAATGAAACTTTCAGTTTGAATTGTTTTTCACAGCTGGACGATGTGCGGGCTAAAGAGGGAGAGAGAGAGTGAGAGTGAGGGAGGGAGGGTGGTGTTGGTTGAGATCAGGAAGTGCGCCACGTTTTCCATGGCCGCTGATAAGAGAGTTTTTACCTCACATGTGCGTGTGTGTGTGGTTGTGCGTGCGTGTGTTTGCGGTTTCGCTTTTCCTCAGCCTCTTGCCTTGCATAAATTTCCATACTAATTCGAACAGCCTATGGCTGATTATCAGCCTCGTCGCCGCTGCCGTCGTCGTCATTTGCGTTGTCATCCTCGTCATTCTCATCGTTTGACTGTAGTTTATTTTCTGTTCTTTTTTTGTATTCGCCCGACTGTTTCAGAATAATCTAAATCGGCATTATTTATGCATTCAGCTCGCATTCGGCACGCAGACGCCGCATGTCGAGCACTCTGAATCCCTGAAACCCCCTTCGCATGCTCTCCCAATATGGTTTCGCATTTAAATGCAGTCAAAAAACAAGCAAATCGGAGAGAGACAGTAAGAGATAAAAAATACAAACCAAACACAAATCCATATTAATTTTGATATATGGCTCTTTGAAGCGCACATGTAAAATAAAACGGGTCAATTTGATGCCCAACTTTCATTTGGAATTCTCGTTTCGAGCTTTCAACTTGATTGCAAATATGCAGATGTCAGAGTTGTCAGATGCTAGCCAAACATCTGCCAAAATAAAAGTATTTGAAATGCAATGGTTTCGTCTATCTATCGATTTTTGTCTTTACTTCTTGCTAATCACTAAGGCAGCGTCGTTTAGATATTCCGTTTTCAAACGTTTTCAAAACATTTTTGGTATATATTGATCTACGATCGAGCCTGCTCAAAGGTTCTCATTGCTCATTGGAGCTGTGATTCAAGAAATAAAGTTCGTTCTTCAATTACCTATATTAAACTCGACTTGCGATATTACGTTCTTCTAGAGCTCGTATCTTTTTCAAATAAATATTATATTAACAATATCAGATTACTATAAGTAGCAAGAGAATTGTTTTAATAATACATTTTATTACAGATAGATTTTCTATTGCTCAAGATTCGGCTTATGTTTATCAAGCTATCTTGACGAGGCTCAGTTACTGCCAGCTGCTCAGTAGTCTCAGTCGATGTCTTGACTATAGCATAATAAAAATTCGAAAATAATCCCTCTGTCTAGTAGAGTATTTATTGTTTGGCTTTGTTTTATATCGTGTCGTATTTAGCTTTTTAATATCCCCTGGCATATTAGCTAGTAAAATGCTTGACACCATCGTTACAACTAAGCCCCATGCAACGCCCAGTGGCAGCCACAAAGACCATTTGCTCTCCCACGAGCGCCATAAAACACGCCGCAGACGCAGGCACATTTGCCTTTCTAATATGATGTGTGGAAACAGAACAGAAAAGAACAGATCGTTAATTAGTTACTTTAATATGAAATGATAAAAAACAACAGCAATGACACGACCCATGTCAATGGGGTTGTGTGAGTGTGCCTCATGTAGTATAAGCCAAGTCGAATCTAACTAACGAAACGAAGCTTATCAGAACTCATTTATCAGCTGCAATTAATGGCTGGCGTAAGTGCAGGGTATATTGTAGGGTATTGTGTGGGTATACGTGTTCCCAATGCCACACAATTCAAGTGAGAGATAATTAAAGTGAGGTTAGGTTCGTATTTCCGAAAATAAAACAACTGCAAACATAATTATAGTTTAAGTTAATATTTATTTAGGTTTATTTTAAATTTGCTTCATTCTCTTCACATCTCCAAAAAGTGTATGTCCACGGCATGGTGGTCGACGTCGACATGAGGATGTAGTTGTAGGAATTTCACATAGGCCAAGAACGTTGTCCAGCACATGCTGAAAAAGGAGGTGAAAACCACCTGATTTCTGGCCGGAACAAACGCGAAGTTAACTGTTTGCACGCATGGCCAATAAACAATGCCGACCTTATAGGCATCCAGGAATTTATCGCTAACCTGCAGAGAGACAGAGCAAGACACAGTGACTGAGAGAGGTAGACACTAAGAGACTGTAATAAAGTGACAGCGGGGAGGAAATGTAAAAAAACTTTTATTTACGACCAAAGTTGGTATGCGTGTGTGTGTGTGTGCGTATGGGCGTGGCATTTTGTTAATGTTGTTAATTAAAAAAGCCTTTTGGCATTTCACATTTTCACTTTTGGCCACATTTGTTGCCGTCGCGACGGCCATTGGGAAATTGTGAAAATTATATTTATTTTTGGCCCAGCCAAGAGTCAACAAAAAAGTGTTGTGGCCCGAATGGCAAATTGACGTTAAGCTACTAATTAAGCACAAATTGGGCTTAAAAATTAATATTTAATGCACTTATTTATGAGACTGACTGAGTTAAAAAAAAAATAAATAATAAGTCCACTAGTTTTTATGCTGAATTAAATTTGTTTTTAAGCTGCATAAATAGAGCTTTTCCTGGGCATAGCGACTGGCATCGGGTTGTTTGTAGAGTTGCCTGGAAGAACATCTTCATCAGCTGCTGCTTAGACAAAGTTTGCCAATCGAACGCGAACTGCGACTCGGACAGGTCTTGGAAAGCGCATGCAAGCCAAATGAGAGAACGCACGGTTGACATAAATATATGGTAAAACATTTACATTTATCAAGATAAATGGTTTCTAATGATATAGAAGTAACTCGGCTGAGAGAAGTTGGGGCCGCAAAGCCAACAAATCAATGCTGACAACTCGGCACAGAGTCGCAGATGGAGACACAGACACAGAAACAGCCACAAGAGCAGACAGCGAGACAGCGAGACAGCGAGACATCGAGACAGACAGGTGATATTTATGCACGGTTACAGATGCTGGCAGACAGATACAGCTTCGGCTGCATGAACAGAGGCCCAGATACTGGGCCAGTCGAGTGTAACTGTCGTGAGAAAATGTATTTCCGAAAGACCCACTCATACGCATACTTTAAGTACACTGCGACAGCTTGTTAAGCCCAAAGCCCCAATTTTAAAACAAACAAAATATAAGAAATAACGACTAAAGACCTTTGTAGACACAGGTCTTAGCTGTGCACAGACATGGAAACATGGAAACTGTATATGAATTGAATTACTAAAATTCTTTTGTCTATATGAGTATAAGAACTTAAGAAACAAGATTATGCCTTTGATGCAATTCAGTTCAGTTTTCTCTTCAGCATTACACCTATCAGAAAAGAGTTGAATACCCTCTGCTCGCTGACTGAGAATGCGATTAATGATAACGATAACGATTCCAATAACGATAACAAATTGAACACTGACCAGTAAGCACAACTTTTAAAAGCGTGGCAAACAGTAATACCAATAATCATAACGATTACAAAACGAAAAGATGAAAAACGGCGAGATGGCGGAAAAGAGAGTGGGATACAGAGCAAGAGACAGATATCAGATCAAGTGGATTACTTTAAGTGCCCCGTCAAATCGGAAAGAAAGAAAAACGCAGATCAATGGAGACACTGAACGTACCTCCTGCTTGGCCTGGGCATACGTGTTGCCCTCCATCAGAGTCATGGTGAAGAGAAAGGAGCTAATGGCCATGGGATCGTAGGCCGTCTGCTCGGTGATCGCCTTACAGAGAGATGACTTAATATCTGTACGGGGCCACATGACGGTGGCCAGTCTTATCCAGACATATATGGTCGGTCCCATAAAGAAGAAGCCAAACAAACTGAATCTGCAATAAATAAAAAAATTGAGCAGGAAAAGAAAAAGAGACACCAACACCACAGAGTAATCGATGCCAATTATCAGCAAGAGCAGCTGTTGGACAATAT